ACAAGAGGAAACTTCATCTCAAAAAAAAAAAAGAAAACCAATTTAAAAAAAAAACTTTTTCTTAATTGTGAACCATTGTTGCGCTTAGTATACAATGTTGTTGTTTTTTTTAACCAACATTTTTAAAGCTGGTTTTTTAAAAGCAAGTTCCAAACTATCAACTGGATATGTGATGATATTAAGGAGTGACTGTGGTTTTTTTAGGCTTGATCATGGTACTGTGGTTTTGCTAATTTTTAAAAAGGCCCTTATCTTTTAGAGAAAAATAATGAAATATTTACAGATGAAATTACATGCTGTATGGGACTTGCTTCAAAATCGTCTAGGGGAAGCAGCAGGACAGATGAGGCCAGACTGGTCATGTGCTGAGATTTGAAAAGATGACAGTTCACTATGCTGTTCTTTCTACTTTTGCATATGAGGAAAATAAAGCCTTCCATAATAAAAATATTTTAAATACTTTGTGGTTGCTTCCTATCCCGCTTTGCATGGCTTCTAAGATCCTTCATGAGCTCACCTTCTGCAATCTCATTTTCTACCATGTTTCCAACAGCTTTCTCTGCTCCAACCCCGCTGCCTTCTTGTACTTTCTCGAGCCTGCTGCCAAGCATGTTTCTGCCACAGGGCCTTTGCACTTGCTGTTCCTACTCCTAGACAGCCCTTCCCTCGGATATTTGCATTGCTTATATTAGTTCTCTGCCCAGATGTCACCAGAGGAGTCTTCCCTTAATCTATGTATCAGAGAAGTATTCCTTGGCCTTACTTTTGAAAGAAAACAGAGCCCTTATCATTCCCTACCCTCTATTATGCCAATTTGTGGCATTAAATTATACATATTTGTTTGTTGATTCATCGTGAAATGTAAGCTCCATGAAGGCCAAAGCTTGTTCTATTCTCCATTGGATCTGGCTCAGAAAATTGGTGTTGGCACAGAGTAAATGAAAGAATATGATTCATTTTTAATATCTTCTCTAGCTACTATACTATCAAGAGTTTTTCATAAAGAAATTTCCTTGCCGACTGATCACAGAAAAAAAAAGTTTACAAAAATAAAAAAAAAATTCCCACAATCCTTGTTAGCCTTATTATCAAATTATATTTATGAAGTCCTTTAAAGCTAAAAAGTATTGATATGACTATCTGAAAATATGAAACAAAAGAAAGACAAACTTCTTAGAGAAGACTTCCTAGTTATCTTAATTGAAATGACAAGGAAGAAAGTTAACATCTAATATATTCATGACACAAAAAGATATTTGAGCCTTTTTTACATTCTCTTATCATCTGTAGGCCAATCTCAAGTCAAAGAAACTTCTTTATATTTTCTTAGATTAACTTTTACTTACTTATCTCACTCCATAAATACTTAACTGCACCCTTTCTATGTGTCAAGCCCTGTGCCAGGTCCTGGGACTACAGGGGTAATCCAGATAGAACTGGGGAGAGCGAATTTCAGGCAGGAGGAAAATAAAATCCTGATCATTATTTTTGCCAACAAAAGTCATTGATTGTGGGCAATTTTATGATACCTACATTTAAATTCAAATTGCTGGCAGTATAAGTTTTATTATTATTGTATACATAGAGAACATAAAACATGTTTGCATTTTCTATTCTTCTTGGGCTACGGTTTTTAAATTTCATAGTGACAAGTTGGAAACACCATTCTGACAACAAATTAGACATTTTCTTAAACCATAACTGAGCCACCCAGTTGCATCACTTTCTTCAAAGCTTGCTGCCATTTCCATATGACAATACACTGCAAACCGATGGTTTAAGTCCAAGGAAGGACTATGTTTTGCTTTCCCACGAAAGCCTAATATTTTTCATTCTCATTTTAATGGTAAAGATACAAATTTAAGAGGTCAAGAAAAATGTCAGGCTCTAGAATCTTATAGTGTTATTTTATGATGACATGAACTATTATATTTCTACAGTGTATGATATGTACACTAGGATTATTAGATTAATAACATATCCAATCATTTTTTTTAAGTCTGTGTGAGGAGCGATAAGGAAAGCCAAAGTGAATTTGCTGCACCTGTTATCTGGGCATTAGGCATTCTTAACAAGTTCCATCTCCCAGGCAGCCAGATTAATAGATGACAGGGGGAAAAATGTAAATTGCATTACCATCTTCGATGTGCTAATATAATATACATGGGTATTGAAAATCCAATTGAAAGGAGACTGGCTTATTAACTGTGGCATGCTGCAATTTACATATCTCACCCTCCAGATGTGAGGACGGTAAATGAGAATGGAGTGTGCTCAGATCAGCAGGGGACAAGAAGGAAAAAACCATGTACTTTGGCTATCAATTTTGACAAGTGAAGAAACAGTGACGCTTAGTGAAATGAATGACTTTCACTTTTCCTAAAATAAATCTGGCTCTAGCCACTTGTTGGCTGCATTCTGGAGCAGCCTGAAAGACAGCATGCCTAACCCTAGCAGGTCATTCTGTGCATGGCCCTGTTGACTTTCCAACAGTGAAAGCGAATGTAGATACTGACTACGCCATCATCAGTGTTAGCTAGCCAGCAAAATGAGAAAACAACTCTGTCTTTGGAAATAAATTATACAGAGTTTAGAACGAAGTCCAACACAAGATCTTAATGTCTCTAAAACTGCAGAGCTGAATTTCTCACAGGTAACCATTATCTTCACTATGTCTCCTCAAACATACACACAGCTTTTGATAACTTTCAACTATTTAGAAGTAACAGTATAACAACATTTAACTTAGTTAATTTTTTAAATTAGGAGTTTCCCAATAGACATGCAATGCTGGATAAATGGAATGGTAAGAAGGAGTGAAAGAGCTGAGAGTGAGATAAACAGCCACAAAACACAGTGAAGTAATGATCCTAACCAGAAATGTTAGCATTTCATATTGATAAACTACGTAGCAACAAACTTTAAATAAATTTCAACTATTTCTTTGCTGGATAGATAAACAGTCATAAGTCTCTCTCTTCTTTTGGCTTTTGATTATGGAAAATTTAAAACATGCACAAAGAAGACAGACTAGCATGACAAACCCCAATGTACCCATCACTCAGACTGAACAACTCTTAACATTCTATTATTCTGATTCCCTCTATCCCTCTATCCACTCTCTCCCTCTTCTATTGTTATATAGGTTTTTTTAGGTAAAATGTATGTATATATGGAAAAGCACAAATATTAAATGTTTTGACAAATGAACTCTGCCATGTAATCCTCATGCCAATATAAACCATTCCATCTCCAGAAAGTCTCATGTATCACTTTTTCAGTCAGACTAGGTGCAGGTACAATGATACTTATCCAATAGAAGACATATTTTTTCCAGCACAGAAAAAACTAAGGAAACCCACCTCCTGAAATCCAGTATGCTTTGTATTTCAAGCTGCACAAAGGCTTATAATCAGCTTTCTACAGAAAAAGATGGTGTAGGAATCTCATACGCAGAGTAAATCCAGACACTGTTCTCCCCACAAATAGTATTCAGATAGAGAGCCTCCAGAAAAATTGAGGACTTCAACAATATGTAACAAAAAGCCCTACATCTGGACTTATCTTTTTATTTATTTCAGTAGAACCTCAAACAAAATTATAGTTTCATAAATGCAACCCGAGATATAAATAGTAATACTACAAAGTGGCAAAATTATAAGTAAGGTATTATTATAATGGAATTTTTAACCACTCACCACAAGGAGTACGCGCTTAACAAACCACATTAAATTCTCTATCCTTGCTCTCCAGAAAAGTAGCAACAACAAGCAATAGTAGAGGGAATACTGGTAATGACACTGACAGCAGCTGAGAGGTATGGCAGTGAGGAAGCCAGTTCTGACTCCGCTGTGCTCTGTTGATTCCAACCATAAGAGTGCAACACAGATAAGGAGACCTGCTGTTAACATGATATACAACCTGCATTTTATTCTGCATATTTCAGACTTGTTCTCTGTCCTCACTCCTCCAATCATGCTGGTAAAACTCTTTTCCTCACAAGTCCCCATTTAGGCCAACAGAGAAGAAAACTTGACCAATAGTTCTACCCCCTGGAGAAGGGCTGGGGAGGAAGCCTCCACCCTCAGGCCCCCATACCTGCTCCGTCCCTCCTAGGAGAAATTGGAATTTCTATCACTGAGGAGAGTGAGACTGGGCTTCATTCGCCTCCCCACCACTGCAGCGGTGCTGAGGGAAAATGGCCTCCATTTAGACTGCAGGCTCTTCCTAGACTGCCTGTGAGCTGACAGGGTGAGAGGCCAGGCAGGCCTCTGCTCTCAGCTCTGGCTTTACCATTACTGAGGCAGATACTATGATATTATGTGTGAGTCTTGGGTTTCTTTTGCAAACTAGTTATAATCTGGGGAGGAAGGTCCTCACCACCTAAGGCCCTAAACTTCCTAAGAGCCAAACTCTTTATCCTTTGTCTCAGCACTCCTCTCACGAGTACTACCACCTACACCACCATCAATGACAGCACCGTCACCATCTATACCACCATCACCATCACCCACCAATACTACCAATACCACCACCATCTACACCACCGGCGCAACCACCCACCAACACTACAAATACTAACACCACTACTACTACCATCTACGTCACCATCAATGACAGCATCACAACCCTCTACAGCAGCACCCACCACCCACCAACACTACGAATACTAACAACACCACTACCACCATTAGTGACAATAACACCACCATCTACACCACCAACCACCACTACCCACCAACACTACTAGTAGTAACAACACCAGTACTGACATCAATAACACCACCACCATCTACACCATCACCACCATCATCAATACTACCATCACTACCATCACTACTCACCACCACCACCACCCTCCAGCACTAGCACCATACACCAACACTACCAACACAAATATCAACACCAAGACCACCACCACCACCACCTTTGTAAATATTCAGAATTGAATTGCAATCTGCCAGTACAAGTATCCAATTTCTTGCCAGTCCTGGTATTACCTTGTTCTCCTCTGGGGTAAAGAGGATTCGGAATACAGAGGGCACTCCAGGAGCCACTTTGCGGCTAATATCTTTGGGGCTGATTACTTTAAAGTAAGGCGAACTTTCCTCCACAACTTTCACCAACCTTGGAATCTGCAGGGAAACACAGGATGAACATTGTACATGTGGAAAAGCAGAGTTAAACACAGACTGAAATCTCCATCAATTACTTACTAGACGTGTCGCCTTGGTCAGGTCTGAACTTCAGTTTTCTCAAGCATAAAAGGAGATGATGGTAGTACTTATTTTTATGCCATACAAAGTAAGCACCCAATACCTTTTCGCTTTAATTTTTATCAATATTATTCTTATTTTTATAATTATTGCAAGTCTTTATTCATTTTAAAATTAAATCATTTAAAAGTGACGATCTTCAAGGGTGAACTGCTTAATCAGCTAAAACTTACCCACATAACAGAGTTAAGCTGGATTTCCCAACATGTGAGCATTTGAGAAGTGCTATGAGAGAAGTCACACTTTCTGCACCCCTTCAATGGCCCATCTACGGTACATGACATGCCACCTCATCCTCGCAATAACCTTTGAGCTTCATTATGACTCCCATGTTACAGACGCCGCCCAAAGCAATGCAGTTCCACCAAGCAAAGGTGCTAGGAGTCAAGTCCCAGCCCAGCTCCACCCCACCCGCCGCTCCATGGGATGGTCCTGAGTAAACACACCACAAAGCAAGAGCAAAAAAGAGCAGGATATCCCCCACACCAGTCTCAGAACAACTCCCAACTTCTGCTGGAATATGAACCCAGATTAGTCTGACTCTGGAGGTTGGGTCCTTACCTTTGTATCCCAAGTAAAATTATTAGTGTTCTGGCTTATTCTCATCCTGTGTGCGAGAGAGAGATACACAAAAATAATAACCTGACAGGCTCTATCTTTTGTACCTCATGCCAGTGAGGAAGCAAATAAAAGGTGAATGGCACAGAAAGCATTTCTTGGGGCCCTAAATCTCTCCCATGCTTCTTTATGAGACTGTGAACTAAGGAAGCAGAGGAGCAGGTATATCAGCCACCGGGTATGAGGGTCCTGGAGTCACCAGACGGCAAGTATGCCACGCCTGGAGAGAACTGTCTGCTTGCTGGTAGCTGGACGTTCCTTGGATGGGACCCTCTTTCCATGTGGCCAACACTCTGGCTGCATCTTATCAAGCGATGTTGGGTTATCCATGAGAACTGAGTGTTTGGCAGACAAAACTCACACATGACCTTTACCCCAACTTGCTATTAAACAACCACTGATGACCAATTCTTGTTTAAGGTCAGAGAGGGCTGGCCAAAGGATGCTTTGTACTGTACCATTTTAGTAGTCTAAAAATACCTTAGCCAGAGTCAAAAAGTAATATAGAAAGGGAAAAGAAAGTCAGAAGAGAGAACCAAACTGCATGTAAAGATAGAGTCCTAATGTCTGTGCAATGCTCCTCTTCTGAGGTCTAGGTGTATAACCTTGTGCACCTCGGGTTCTTTTCCTTCTCTTTCGCTTCTGTCCCATGAGCTGATCTTACTAATGCCACTGCAGAAAAGAATGAAACAGACCATTTTCTCCAGAGTCTGGCTTTGCTGTCACTAAATCACCCATTGATCTCTGCGAGGCATCACTGATTCCCTTAATGAGCTGCTGTACCAAATATAACTGCAAGTCTTCCCATTTTCTGGGGATTCTTGCATAGTCTTCACTTGTATTCTATTTTGTCTTACGGCTAGAATTGTTTGTCTTCATATTCTTAGACCCCTGAAAGTACTCCTCCTTGTCTTTATAACCAGAGTTTCCCGTTTCTCCAATGCTTTCCTCCACATCTGATTACTTTTCACACTCAAGTTTGCTTCATGCTGAACTCCTTCTCTTTTCTTGAAATAAACCCTAATTCATCTCTGAAGAAAAAGTCATTAGGCTGGAAAAGAAATCTTCTGTTGCAATTACAAAGAGACAAGATACAGACAGTGAGAGAAGCCTTCCAAAACTGACTCTAGACAAACTCTGAAGGCTATCTCCTACAGAAAGAAGACAGAAAATAAGGAAAGGGACCTACATTTTTTAGAAGTGAAAAGAAAGGTTTTTAAAAGGTACAATTTGCAGAATATAAATATAAACGCTCAACAATCGCAATTCTTGTGAGTAGAGTTTATACCTTGAATTGGGGAAGTGGTGTCTCTAATGAAGATTACATAAACATTAACAGTAATTTCCCTGTCTTAAACAAAAACCTAGCTCAATTTTTCATGCTTGAGAATCCCATGACATTCATCCGGTCAATCCTTTAATCCACAAAAGTTAGTGCACATGTTGAGAGTTCACTACTTGTTAGGCACTGGTTAGGACTCAACATATAGCAACAAACAAACAGACACAGCTTTGTCTTCCTTAAACTTATAATCAAAGAACATGTTTCCATACTATTTTCCTAAGTCTATCAAATTAAAGAACTTATCAAAGATCTTTCCAGATCCCATTTTACTTTAACCCATTTTCATATATCCTGGAAAAGTTCACCCACCCCAGAGAACATACTCACTTTGTCATTGTTCCTCAAAATCAGTGGAACTTCATAGACTTCACAGGGAGTGTAGTTCTGGAATATAATTTCTGATGGAAAGGGCTGGAATAATGCCTGATCCAGGTCAATTCCTGAAAACTTCAGAGGAAAGAGTAAATTATTGTTATAGTTGCCAAAAGTGACCGGGGAAGATAATAAAATACTACATAGACCTGTGGATATTAAAACTAAACATGGGAAATACCCAAAAAATATCCATACCCAGGTACATAATTATAAAAGCACTGAAATCACAGGAAAAAAGAATGTGTGAAAGAAACTGGAGGGAAGAAAAAAGAATATTTAACTTCCAAGGAGCAAAAATACATGACTACTTTTCAACATAACACAAGTCAGAAGGAAAAGGAATAAATTTTT